ACAATTACAATTCTTTTTACAGTGCCAACATTCCGCAGCGCTATACGCTACATTTGAGAACTGGGACTATGTGCTCTGCACCTTGACACCAGAGTTGCGCTGATGTGTATTTAAGTTGCGCTGTCTCTTTAAAATTGTTATTGCTAGTGAAGTGTGTGTGTCTGAATCACCACTGAAAGCTTGTCCCTCATCGGATTTCCTGCCTGTGTTTAACTACAAACAGAATCCAACTGCTAGAAGTCTTAGCATTAGTAAGAGGTTTTCGAAATTCTATTAGTTGGGTTTTTGCCAGTTGGATTTGAACTCACCACCACTTTGCGTCTCTATGTATACGTGCATGTGTGTGTGTATATATATTGTTGTGTATTTTAAAAAAAAATATTCAAGGTATAATATTTTTTAGATTTAGTCCTTAATGTTTTTTATGTTTTAATGCTAAACATTAAAACCTATGTGGCTTGGGCTAATGAGGAAGTATTAGTTTGAACAGCATTGGGCAGATGTGATTGGCTGAGGGTCAACTAACTGCTTTTAGCCTATCAGAGCTCCCATTGTAGATATGAATGGGTATGACTACAAGAAAGTGTGTAATCTCTACTTTAGCCAAACCTCCAGTGGGGGCCGGGCTTTGGGTGGCCAGGGAAAATGACATTATAGTGTTCCTTTATCAGTGAATGGAGTGACAGTACCTGGGGACTCCAGGCTCTATCACCAATTCTTCACAGAGTTGAAATGATTATAGTGAATAGAATGTCCTTTAGAGGGAGTTATTTCCTTTATTGTGAAGAATTTAAATAAGTATTGTAAATGTGAGGTCAAAATGGCTGAGCCAATGTAAAAGAATCTTTATATCTCAGATATATTGGCTTTAAATGCTCAAAACTAATTTGTCAATTTCACACAATTCTCTGTTTATTGAAAACACCACTGTAGTTTTCTAGACCCTGAATTTACAGTGTTTAAATGTCAAGACTCTGCCATGTCCAGTGGTGCATGCCTACAAATCTTGCTACATCTTCCAACATTTCAAATGGACAAAGAGGGCCACTTTCATTTTAGGAGTGAGTGGCGGTGTGGCCAGGGGTGGGGTTATTCCAAGAATATTTTTTTTTGGGTGACTTGCTAATAACAATTTATAGAACTAAAATGTAATTTAGAATAAGAACAATGTATTTTATTTACACAGACTGATTTCTAAAATGTATTATAGTTTACTCGCATTACTGGGAGTTCTATTGTTCTGTTAAACACTCAGACACACCAACAATATGGGGCACCTAGAAAATAGGGACGTTAGGATAGAAAAGAAACACTTGTTTGTTGGCTAAATTGCCCTATAAATCATTGCACATAAAGCACAAACTACTACCATCCTCCTGACACGTTGTGACAGAGCAAGGACGTTGAGTAAGTGGCATCTTTTAAGCTACTTTATCTATGCCAGGTCCACCTTCATTATGTTGTTCCTATTGAAGTCATTATTGAATCAGCTTGGAAGAGTTAAGCTCCGTTTGATGCATAGTTTATTTGTTAATCAAAGAAAGGCTTAAATTTGCGCTCGAAATTGCATATAGACAAATGCTGCCTCGATACTAAATTCATGGATTTTAACATCTAGATCTCCAGCAGTTTTCTACAATAATCCCAAATAATTTATGAATTTTGATAATGATATTATAGCATGTTTATCCAGAAAAGCCATGTATGGACTCAAAGCTCTTCACACGTGTTACATCTCCACAAGAGACATGGAGGTTACACATAATGGTTATGAAAGGCTTGAATGAATAGATGGATTTTGAGACTCTAGCAAGCGAAGACTGGTACTGGGGAGACAGTTTAACAGAGAATTAGCAGCATGGTAAACTCACCACATTTTCTAAACAAATTTTTTTTTATTAATAAGTGTGAGTATGGTGGCGCTTAATGAACAAGTAA